CTTTCATAACTGGTAAGTGTTTTTTCTTTTGCCTTGTGAACTGGCCGAGCCTTAATGATTCTGTTTCTTTACATGTATTTGCTTACTGACCGTTGCATGCAATCGTGAAATACAGCATTTTTTAAAATTGGCTTTTCGGGTTTGGGTCGGGTTCGGGCTCTAAATTTAACTGTGTGTCCCATATGCATCAGACGTTTAGCCAACGGTCCGTGGGCGTGACACCTGAGGCTGAGACTACTCTAAAACACACTATTGTCATTATTACTAGCATAGGCTTGGAGCAGGGGTGTCCGAACCTGTTCCTCAAAGACCACTGTCCTGCAGAGTTTAGGTCCAACCCTAATTAAACACATTTGAACAACGTCTTCAGTCTCACTAGAAACTTACAGGCAAGTGTGTTGGAGCTAAAATATCCAGGACACTGTCCCTCCAGGAACAGGTTTGGACACCCCTGGCTTAGAGGAACACATTATTTTATAAATTACTCTCAACATTCCCAAAGGAAAGATTTGTTTTATATCAAGGCCCAGAAAGGTAATAAGGACATCATTAAAATAGTCCATGTGACATCAGTGGTTCAGCCTTAATTTTATGAAACGAGAATAGAGAATACTTTTTGTGCGCAAAGAAAACAAAAACAACAACTTTATTCAACAATTCTTCTCCTCTGCATCACGATGCATGCGCATGCTCTCCTCTGAATGTAAACAAGGCACAGTGCGTGTGTTCTACGTCATCAGCACCACACGCACACGTTTTTTACATGCAGGAAAAGCAAGCGCATGCGTCATGAGTAATTCATTTTTGGGTGAACAATCCCTTTAAGGTGAAGTTGCTTTGGCAATCCCGACCAGCCCAACCAATGTTTGGAGTTTGCGTTGAGACTAGGGATGTAACGATTAACTGCGAGCCGGTTGAAAATCGATTTAAATATGTGACGATTCAAATCGGTTGAGATGCTAAACAAATCGCGATTCAATTAGGGGTAGGAGTTTATATGAATGTATGTCTGAGGGGAACTTACTGTCTTTCGATGGTATTTTTTCTTTTCCTCTTGCCTCTGTATAAAGCATATTAAAGTTCATAAGTGCAGCACTGCTTTGTTTACAGCGGAAACCAACGAAACGCTTTAAGTGCCACCTGCTGGCAGAGAGTGAATCTGTATATTGTTATAGTGTTATATTTCAATTTCACAAAGAAACGTGCAACATTTTGTCCAAGCAATAATAAAAGGACACATTTAATTTATAATTTGTCTTAAATATTATTTCATTTCCATTTGTATTTGTTGAAGTACTGAAATAACTCAAATTAAATAAAAGTAAAACTTAAAAAGCCTATATAGACAAATAAAAAACTAATAAAATGACAACATTACTACAACTGTAACTAAAACTAAAATAGATAACTAATACAAATCAAACTACATTAGTTTATCAGTAATCCTAAAAAAATTACACTGAGCCAAACACACATGCTAAAATAACAACAACTTACTGACACATAGTAAGAAATGGTTATAAAAAACTGAAACAGAAGTGAAACAAGTAGTAGGAAAGAGGAGAAATAAAAAGCGATACTTATTATATTATATTAGTATATTATTATAGTGTTATATTTCAATTTCACAAAGAAACGTACAGTATTTTGTCTAAGCAATAATAAAAGGACACATTTAATTTATAATTTGTCTTAAATCTCATTTTGTTAAAAAAAATCGTGAATCGAATCGTGAAATCAAAACCGTGAATCGAATCGAAACGAATCGTGAGTTGAGTGAATCGTTACATCCCTAGTTGAGACTTTGATTTTTTGTCAGTTAGCAAACAAGAAAAGTGTTCGGGAAACCTATTTGAAAACAGTGGTTTGCTTGTTTATCTTAAAATACTGATGGCAATTCACCAACCATGAAATCTAACTTATTACATGTAACAAGATCATAGTCAATAATAACAATAGTCAGACACCTCAACAGACTACTGTCATTGACGTTTGCGTTGACCTCAAGAGGAATCCACACTAATTCTTCAGCCAGCTGAAGGTCTTGTTCCTCAGTTATTGGTAACCCAAACGTCCCATGGGGTGGATTGGACCTTTCGTACAACCGCGCTCCTCCAACGAAGACCACAACTGTCTCAGTTTTCTAAACACATCAAATATAATGTGGCAGATGTGCTCAAGCTCTTCCATATGAAGAGGGACAAAGCCTTATTCATGACTGACTGTAAATCATATCTAAAAACATTCTTACATAAATTGTCGCGCTCAATTCATTGGGAAGGTTTATGTAAAAATGGATTTATGAGCAATTTGTTCCACTTGCATTTCATGAATGAGGCCCAAAGAACGATAGAACGAAAGAGAGGGAATCAAACCTTTAATGTATGACTCTCCCTCTGTTGTTTATACAACCAAACCGCAGAGGAAGCGGAGAGGAGAATGTTTCAGGCATGCAATTAGACACCTCTCTCTCAGGACCTCGCGCAGGGGGCCGGAGGGAGCCATTAGGGGCACTTTATTGATTGGGCGTCTGTGAGTGGCCCTACCCAGTGTGCATCTGGAGTAGAGACTTATAGTGGCAGCCCAGTGTATAGCACAACTCTATAAAAATTATGACACGTCTATTAAAGAGGGAATCGATCGGCTGTGTTATTGCGGGGTCACAAGTAATTGTAGTTTCTCTGGCCTCTTCCTCAGCCCTGTGTGAAATCAATGATGGCTGTGATGGGCATTAAGGGAGAAGACGTTTTATAGCAAAGGAAATGTATTAAAATGATAATCATTGACCTTATTTTCTCATTTGTGTTTTTGTGAATGTCAATGCAGAAATAAATATATAGTTCCGTCATGAAACTCTAGATGGCGCAGGCGACTGGTTGTTAACGTAACCCGAGAGTTGTCATGATTGAAATATACTTTTATTAAGCGAGGATGCATTCAATTGATCAGAAGTGCCAGTTAGGACATTTACTGAATAATGTGAAAGATTTATTTTTCAAATCTTCAGAAAAGGTATCACAGTTTCACAAAAATATGAAGCAGCACAACGGTTTTCAGCATGGATAATAATAGGAAATGTTTCTTGAGCAGCAAATCAGCATATCAGAATGATTTCTGAAGGATCATGTGACACTGAAGACTGGAGTAATGATGCTGAAAATTCAACAGAACAATAGAAACAATAGAAAGGTTTCTTTGTTGCTGGATGAAGATGTTTGTCTTGTGGTAAAAAAAAATTTGTGTAAATAGGCCTTGAACTTGTTCAAATAATTTACATTTTTTTGCATTGCATTTTTAAAATAAATAGTTCTTCATTTTGAATAGTTCTTCTTCATCACCGTGTTTTTTTAAGTGTGTAAAAGTTTTAGTATTAAAGGTCAAGTGTGTAATTTTTTTGAAATTTTTGTCGGCACAAAAAAAAAGAAGAAAAAAAAATCAATGGCCATTATGCCTTTGAACTGAATTCACGTCATTGTCAACAGTCACACTTGTCATGTGGGGCTGGTAGGGAATATTTCAATGCTTTTCAGAAGAATAATACAAATGCTTTATTTGTACATTACTTTATTAGTTGACTGCTTCAAGGGGAAAAATACATAGTTTGCCGTTTGTATTATTGTAACTGGAATATCAAATATAAAATATCACATTTATAACCCATGATTTCATGATATTTGAGGTGGAATTCATAAACTGTGGTCTTTTTCTTGTAGCTGCGGGACGCTCTGAAATGTCAGCAGTGTCAGAAACAGTTCCGATCAAAATCTGGACTCAATTACCACAGCATGGCTGACCACATTAAGGTGAGCGGCAGTGCCAGAACACATTTTACTTTAGCTTTTTGTAAGAATTAACTGCAGATCCATAGCAGAGCTCATCTCCTAGATGTCAAAACAGATGAAAATCTATGATTTGAAATACAATGTATAAATCATTTAAACAATTAAAATTGCATCACTTTTAACATCAGCTTTTCTGTATATGAATGATACGATGAGTCTCATGAAATGTGTTGTTCTTTCTCTTCACGCTGAGCCCTTTACTCCCTTGTGAAAAAGTACACTTCAGCATACTTTTAAAAAGGGTACTATTATGGAAATAATATGATTTAAAGGAAAAAGTGTGAACCAAAAGTAATGTTTTCAGACACATTGCATGTTATTTACAATTAAATTAAAATGTATTATAGTTTAAATTGATATTAAATGCAATTAGATGAACTTAAGAGTGTTTTTTAATAAATCTTTAAACAAAATATCATAATTACTTGTGTTGTCTTTGAAATATGGTTAAAGTGTACTGCCATATGTTCTGACAGGCATTTATAGTAAACTAAAATATACTTTAATGTAATTTCTATTAAAATTTGTATGTCATGCATTAAAATATTTTTGTAATTACACATTTGTAATATTGAAATTGTAATTTAGTACATTTAAAATATATCAACTTTAAATGTAATATAAAAAACACTACATTTAAATTTATATCAAGTACTTTACATGTGCGTTAACATGTTACATGTTACTCGTCAACATGTTATGTAGTCAACACATCAAAATAAGTGTACTTTAAAAGATGACAAAATATGTTTTGATGCAATGTTTTAAAATGAACTGTACTTTAAAACTTTTAATTTGACATATTACAAAGTGCACTTTTTAAATGTGTATTTAAGTGCGTTATGAAACATATAAGTAAACCCTCTCTAAGTACACTTCAATGGCATTTTATTTCATTAAAATGATATTATCTGCAAGTATACGTTTAAAAATATACTGTAAATGTACATTTAATACAATTAAGCGCAATTCTTTTCCCCAAGGGACTCGAGAAGATCTGAAACGATAGCATTTTAATATCTTTAATAAACTAGTGGAGCTGTGTGTGTACAGTATGTGCAGAAGAACAGTGTTTAATATTACATACAGTGACCACTACAGAGAGCAGCTAATCTCTATTATATCTGACACCATCTCTATACTCCAGCATCACTTTAAGACCTAAAGCATCCATTAGGCTCTAACCATTAACTGTACATATGGGAAAAGGTCTAGCGCACATCTAGTAATGCCTTTTAAAACAGTCTTCAAGCAGTATTTCAACTGTAATGATTGTCTCCTGTTCCTCAGCCTTATTTCTGTTCAGTAATAATTTCCTCAACAATCATCAGCTTTCCTGCCAGTAATCTTTCTCCACGGCAAATCATGGTAATCTGTGCCTTATGAGTAAAGTTCATCTGTTTTTTTCCAGTCATTTTCAGCCAACATCTGAATAGGAACGGCACATCCCGTAATGATGACCCTTGTGAGGTTTAGTGTAAAAACATGAGAGAGAAACGCTGGTTAAAGAGGGCCATGAGGATGTAAGCGCCATCTGCCAAGCTCAAGCATTAGCTGCAAACAATATTTCCAATGAAATGTGTTCAATTATGCACGACCAAATGTCTTAGAAACAGTATGAAACATTAATGAGGATGTGCATTTAGGTCTGTGATTTGTTATTTGAGCCAGATGCTGAGTCTCACTGAGCCAAACATTTGAGAATCAGCATAAGGTCTGGGCCACATTGCAGCTTATTCTAGCCAGGATCCGCCCACTTTGACAGGAAGAGAACGATAAACGTGTAAAGTGATTTCAGGGCTGGTTATCGTAGGTAGTTAAAAACAAAATATTTTAAAAAATGTGTGATTCAATAAAATTAACATTATAGACCGAAAGCGAACGTCTGGACACACTTGGCCTGAAAATGAAAAAAATGGAAACGGAAACCAAAAAAAAATGATTCTTTAAAACTGGACTTTCTCTAGACTAACTACACATTATATTATAAATAATAATATAATACTTGTGACTACACTTGTTCTCGCTTCAGGTGGCATCACGGCCGTAACATCTGCCCAACAATTTTTAAGATATAGAATACTTTTTGTGGATCAAAATGATTTTGTAGAAGTTCTCCCGATGTACAACTTAATATTCTATATTTCTGCTGTAATTATGACAAAGCTGCTTTTTATTAACAGAAACTGGGAGTATTGATATACTAAATTAATTAATCATGATCAATTATTTGCCTCCAGAAGTTTCTAGAACTGTTTGTTTTTCTTTAAAAACACTAGTTATTGAGGGGGAAATTAGTATCATTTCAGTTTACATCTTGATTTGATGTGTTTTTTTTATATATATATATATTTTAAGTAAGATCAGAATTATTATTTTAAGATATTTAGACTTGGGCTGTCAAGCAATTAAAATTAATTTATCAAATTAATAATTACATTAATTGCAAGTTATTCACACATCAATTGAAAATTATCGCCCAAAAGTCATTATTGTGTTTTTTAGGCATTAAAAATCTTTAGAAAGAAATATTTTCATTCAACATAGGATTTATTACACACAAACTTTTAAGGCTACAATGTAGCCATACATTTTTTTTTTTCAGAAGCTGCATGTGAAGTAGCATTTGGGTATATTAACACAGAGGTGGCATGAATGCATTTACACTGCAATTATTATTGCATAAATAATGCTATGAAATTAATGGGATTTAAATGGGCATTAATGGATTTTTTTTTT